CCCCTCTTTAGTTTCGTCATCGCCCCATCCTGTGGGCTTTATATCTTCGATCTGGACCTTCGAACTTTCTGGGGCAGAATATTTGACCAGATAGTCGAACTTTCCACTGGGTTCCCCCAGAGTGTCCCATATTTCCTTCTGAAGGGGAACTGGCTGCGTAATTTGGACTTTCTCCAATTCCAGCATCAAGCCCTCAGTGACTTGTGTCAATCCTTCGTTTTGATTCCCTTGGCCTTCAGTAGCCTGGGTTTCTCCTGCAACAGCCACAGGTGCAACAATTGAAGTGTCTGGCGTTTTCTGGATGTCTTCAGTGACTTCCTCGCTGACTTCGACCATCACCCAGTTTTCGACTCCAGTGTCCTTCTCTCCTGTTAGGGCGTCGCTTCAATCAGTTTCCACCATGTTGACCTCTCCAATGCATGCAGGATCGGAGTAGTTGGTGTCTGCGACGTCCAAAGGATCTTCGTCCACTTTCATCTTCACCTTGTCAGCAAACTTTAGTCTGCCATCTTTGATCGCGTTTTGAATCAAGTCCCTGAAAAGAAAACATTGTGAGGTCTTGTGGCCTAGGAAACTATGATATTTGCAAAATCCCCTTTTCTTCCTCTGATCCAAGGGAGGTATTTTGACATTTGATGGCACAATTAGTTGGCCATCCTTGACAAGCAAGTCAAAAATTTCGTCACACTTAGTGACGTCGAAGGTGTAAACCTTCTTTGGAAACTTGTCACTTTTCTCATTTTCAACAATATCTTTCCCTTTCGTGGGAACTAACATTTTGCAGGAGTAAGGTGGGGCCTGTTTTAATTCAGCGAGGTCGATTTCGACCTCTTCGAATTCGAATTCAGGATATTCTTCTACTTCCTCAGTCCCAACATAGGAAACCCTTTCTTTCTTACTATTCTTAAAGACTCTGGCTTTTTCAGCTTTTAGTCTTTCGACCTGTCGAACCCTGTCGGCTAATTGAGCCATATTCCTCAAATACTGAGTATCTAATTTCTTTCGAATAGAATAATCCAAACCCCCAGCGGCCATTTCGACTAACTCATGTTCAGGCACTACTGTGTAACATCTGGCTTTTAACAGCCTAAATCTATTCAAATAATCATCTATGGGTTCAGTGAATTTTCTCTTAACACTGGCCAATTCCTTCAAACTTATTTTCGATTGTCCCATGTAAAATTGTTCATGGAATAATCTCTCTAAAAGGGCCCAAGTGTCAATAGATCCAGGAGGCAACGTGGTAAACCAAGTGAAGGCGTTTTTTGTCAAGGAACTTGGGAAGTATTTGATCCTGAGATCTTCATTATTGGCTATGTCTCCCGCTTCGGTTAAATATCTCGCTATGTGTTCGACTGTTGACTCGTTGGTATCCCCAGCGAACTTTGTAAATTTAGGGACTTTGTATCCCCTTGGTAAATCAGTATGCATTATACAATCCAATATAGGAGAAGCGTAATTTGGCCTCCTCATTCCCGTATTGAGGCCATTCTGGGCCATGATCCTCTCTATCATGGTGGTTAGGTTATTTTCTGCCAAGATGTTATCGTTTCGAATCCTATGAACGACGGCATCGGCATCTTGATTTCGACCAACCAAAACAACTCCCCTAGGTTGTTCTTCTCGAAATTCTGGGGCTTCTGGCCTTTCGATCCTTGCCCCTGGTTCCATAACTTCCCTTTGTGGGCCTTGAATTACTGGGGCTTCTAACCTTGGTGCTCTGGCCCCTAAGTTAGCTTCTTCTCTGGGTAGTCTATGAATTGGGTCGTTAGCAATTCGTTCTATAACAGGCATGTTTGTTCGAAATCCCGCCTGGTTCTGCCTACGCCTTTCTGTGGGAGCAAAGAAGTATGCTATTTGACTCATATTGTCAGCGTTTTCCCTGTTCGTCACAGTCACATTCTGAACTATTGGGGCAAATATTTCCTGCATGGTTTGCGCTAACACCCCTATCATATTGTGGTTGCTGTCATCCATCAATTGCCTAAAAGCCAACTGGTTATCTGTGGTTAGGATAGGCAACGTGCTATAACCCACTGACCCTTGGTTATTTGTCATAAATTGGTTCGCCCCAGACCCAGATCCTAGTTGTGGGGATGAATTCGAAGTGGAATTGTGTAAACCTGCCATAAAAGATGTTGGCATTCCGTAAGAAGAACTTCTAATTCTATTCCCATCGAAGCCGGGTGGTCTAGTTGATGGTGTGGCGAAATGGGATTGTGTTCCTGGTGGTGGAACGAATCCCCCAGGGTAGCCCATAGTTCCAGTATTTCCTAAGATCGAACTGTTAGTTGATATGCCACTTATTCCATTGGTGGCTATGTTACTGGTTGAAGATGCAACAGACTGTGCATTCGAAGGGATTACGTTAGATGTTCCGCTCGAAATGGACGCGTTAGTGCCTGTTGCATGTGGGTCACCTTGGTTTCCTTGTTGATTGTCCGAATTAGACATTTTGTCCAAACGTTTTCTTCTGGATAAAGGTTGGTTGCTGTTGGTTATCTTACCACTTCTCAGGTTCATAAAACAACAAACTTCTTAGGTTCCTACGTTTTTGGGATGGCTACGTCTCGACAATCCTTAATTCTGATATCCAACTATTGGTCCCACCGGGTGTGCCAATTTGTTTCCAGTGATTTCTGGTAAACAACCGCTAGTCTTCCAAACTATCGAATAATCTTTATTAACACTATTCAATCTCTCTGGTAACTCACAGGATCGACTAGATTGATCCTAGGACTCCTTGGATATTAAAGTTACTCTCACAATCGAACAATTATTCATGGTTGCTATTGTACAAGTGTTTGGTTTATTTCGATCCTTCTCTCTAAGAGTTTAAAAATGTGGTCAAATTGTACATGAAAACTAAGTTATACGAATAAATGCTAATTGTAATGCTGATTGAAGAGACATATAAAACTGCATGAAAAATGAAGTAAATGGTTTCGATTTGCAAAAGATTTAACATAAAAGATTTCTGGAATGTAGAAGTTTAAAACGTGAAGAAAGCGTTTAATGCAATTTTAAGTAAAAGGATGCGTTTGAAAAACAATACTTGGAAGTAAAGGTATTGAAAGCATAACAGTTCTCTGAAATATAAAGTGCTCGAAATATAAAGAAAGCAATAAAACGTAAAACTTTGAGGAAAAGACTTTGAAATGAAAAGACAGTAAATAAAGAAACTTGTAAATGTTATTCGATAAAAAGAAAAGAGGAAAGTACTGGAAATGGTAAAAAGGCTTTCATTAAGTTAGAAATACATGGTGCTATCATACATACATCTCTCTTGCATTCGTTTCCCTTGCCATGTGGTAGTTTGAATGTTATTGAGTATTTTGTATAACAGATATGACACACTGAAATCCTAATACTAAGACTTCTATTTATACTAATTCGACCCTAACGGTCTCGCTATAGGATCATGCCACGTTTCGAACATGCAAGACAATGCTTCTTTCATCTTTCCACGTGTCCCCAAATGCTCCAACACATAACTTTCAAACTTTGAAAGTCCCGCTTCCATTTAAATTTTAAACGCTTTGGTGTTCTTCCATTTCGAACGCTCTTCCCAAACCTAGCCTCGCTGTTGTTTCGAGACCCCTTTGGATATTTTCCATGATCACCGTTCGAAGCTTCAAGCTTTGACACACTCATTCGAAACACTGCTTCTGCAACTTCGAAATATGGTGTTTAATTCCATTTCGATCAGAACTTTTAACTCTTTTGAATTCTAGATAACATTATCAAAATCTTCAGCCAACAGTACTGATGTTGGAATCAGATGTTACAACATCTGTCAGAACATCTACTTTCAAATGAACTCGACCAACATGTTTAAAACATCTACTTTAACATCAAGCTGCAAACAATGTTTTAGCAAAAATTATGTCAATTTAAAAAACATGGTACTAACAATTTGAATATCTAAAAGTCGGTCCAAATAAAACCTAATGCAATTGGATCAAATTTTTTAATCAATCATCTAAATCAAACTGAAATGCGAGTAAATTTATCGTTGGATCAGATAAATTTTTACCTCAAAACAGATCCATACCGCACCACGAGCACTAGAGATGTTCACTGTGTGGTTTGAGCGATTTTGACATAAAAAGTCATTCAAATCACAAAAAAAATTGCTTGGTTCGATTGACTTTTAGAAATAAAATCGAACCAAACTAAACCAATGCGATTTGGGTAAGTTCGTTTTTTTACAAAAAAATTGTTTAGCCATACATACACATACAAATGACAACTTAACTTTATATTTAGTCGTTTATGCATTACCAAATAACAATAAAATTCATCATATTTGGACAAAAATATAAAAAATATTATAATGAAACAGAAAAAACAGAGGAGATAAAAGATTAAAGAAGATAAAAAAGAAAGAACAAAAGAGAGGATAAATAGAGAAGAATGAGTGCATTAAAAACATGATTGAAAAAGAAAATAGTAGAATAAAAATGAGAATATGAAAAAAATTTATAAGAGATGAGATACTAGAGAAGAATAGCGAGATGTTCATGGAAAAGAAGTGAGAAGAACGTGCAATACCGTTAGAAGAGATTTGAGAAGACTTAAATTAAAACATTAAGTGTGTGGAAGAGAAAGCATTCGTAATCGTAATGTTAAAACATAATAAGTTTGAGTTTGAGTTGGACGTGATTTAAGTGAAGTTTGAGTTGTAACACAACGAGATTTGGTTCGGTTTGATTCGATTTGTAAAATATAAACCGCAAATCGAATCGAACCGTATAATTTCTTTAAAAGGTTATCTAGATACCTCCAAACCAAATACAATTTTTTACGATTTTGATTTGATTAACAATTTTGTATCGAGTATCTTCGGTTTTGAACACACCTAAGGAACACCACTTCATTATCAATCCCACTAATTGAAGAAGTGCACACTATAGTATAATATGCTGAACACGTTGCAAACCACACTAGTGAAGTGTCTCCACTTTCAAGTTCCAACCATAACATTGTCTCTGCTATAAATGCTTCACTGCCTATTCCGTCCCACTTTTCATTCCCATCACCTCTTCTCCCTACACCCGCACGCACCCAAGCTTTCCCTCTCCAACACTCGAATCTCCACTTCCCTCATGTCCTACCGCCCAAACTACCAAGGCGGAGGCCGCAGAGGCGGTGCCTCGTCCTCCGGTCGCGGTGGAGGCCGACGTGGAGGCGGTGGCGGTGGAGGCCGCGGTGGTGGACGCGGTGAGCAAAGATGGTGGGACCCTGTTTGGCGCGCTGAACGCCTTAGACAACAACAAGCAGAGGTACATTTGATAGCTTCCAGTTTTTGCATGTTCAAATGGAAGTTTAATAGTGCTATGAATTGTTACTTTGATCAATTTCATTGGTAATAATTAGGGTTTTTGTTGTGTTACAGAAGGAGGTGCTTGATGAGAGAGACTGGTGGGATAAGATAGAGAAGATGAAAAAAGGAGGGGAACAGGAGATGGTTATAAAGCGTTACTTCAGTATGGCAGACCAGCAAGCCCTAGCTGATATGGCTTATCAACATGAACTTTATTTGTAGGTTCATTTTAACGCTTTATTGTTTTATATGTGTTTACTCATCTAATTTCAAGGGGAAATGATAAGTTATATTTTTAATTAGAAAATTAATCAATGATGGTTGAGTTAAAATCCTAATATCAGAATCATATTCATAATGATATACATGTTTCATGCACATGTATAATAAACAATTCTGCCTATGTTGTTTCTTCTAATGAATTCACTAGAAGAATCAACAAAGGTCTTCTTCCATTAGACATAATTGTTTGATTCTAGAACAATCATATTCACTCCCCGCGGGGTAATGTTTGATGCCACCTCTTAAAGTGTTTGGTTCTAGTTTGCTGCAATGTTACATTAGTTTTGTTGTGTGAATTAGGGGAATCACATTCACTGTCCAGTTGGGATTTTCCTAAGGACAAGTCTTGAACCACACCATACTTCAAATTTTGGGAAGTGTAAACTTCACAAGCCGAGCCATGAGTTATTTTTGGTTAGAACTTGGTTGTGCATAAAAAAAGTAAGTAAATGGACTGAAAAATATGTAACATTAGTAGTATAACAGTCCAAATTTCTTATGATATATTTTTCAAACAACAATAAACTGCAACAACTAGGTTTTGAAGAAAACCCGTCGGTCAATGAGGTAATGACAACACAAATCATAGATAAGCAGTTGGTTTGATTTGTCGAAACTGTGACAATGTTGTTAAGCCTTTTTCTGTAAATGATAATGTATTTTGACATAAAAATCTGATAGAGTTTGATAATGAAGAGAGGAGAGAAAATAGTTTGATAACTCTCATTGTATTAACTGTTATAAGAAAATGAAGGAAACTCTATATATATAGAGAGACTTAGATCTAACAAACTAAAGCTGCTATAACAAAAATATGACAGCTCAGCATATATTGCTAACATAATATTAGAACAGAAATATAAACTAACTGACTAACTATATAATAACTCTATTAGTCCCCTTTAGAAGTTGAGGGTGGTCTGGACAAGTCACTCTTGTTAAACACCTTCAACTTTTCACGCAGAGGTACAAACTTGGCAGCAGATAGAGGTTTAGTCAGAATGTCAACCCACTGATCTTGAGCTGGGACATGAGCCACTGAGAGACTTTTGCTCAGAACTTTTTCCCTCACAAAAAAGATGTCCAGCTCCATGTGTTTAGTCCTATTGTGGAGGATAGGATTGTGGGCAAGTGTGACTGTACTTAAGTTGCCACATAGGATTTTTGGCACTTGAAAGGTATAGTTAATTTCTTTGAGCAGAGACTGAACCCATATTAACTCAGCAGCCAACAGAGCCATACTACGATACTCAACCTCAACACTGGACCTGGCTATCAGCTGCTGCTTCTTGGACCACCAGGAGATGACATTTGGGCCAAGAAAAACACAGGCGCCTGAGGTTGATCTTCTGTCATCTGGGTCAGATGCCCAATCAGCATCACAAAACCCTATTAACTGCATAGGTTGATGAACAATGGCAGGTTGCAAGAGTAACCCATGCTGTATGGTGCCACTCAAATGCCTTAGGATCCTTTTGACTGCCTTCCAATGTTCCTCTAGGGGATTGGACAGGAATTGACAAACTTTGTTGACAAAATAAGAAATTTCAGACCTAGTCAATGTGGCATATTGCAAAGCACCCACAGCAGATCTGAACTGAGTGGGATCCTCAACAGGAACATAACCCACCTTTGACAATTTGCTGGTAGAAGCCATGGGAGTGGGCATGGCATTTGCATTGAGCATATTTACTTTTAGAAGTAAATCAGTAAGATATTTTGTTTGAGAGAGAAGAATGGAACCATTAGGTAGATGAGAAACCTGAATGCCTAGGAAGTAGTCAAGCTGTCCCAACTGTTTCAATGAGAATTTATCATTAAGAAGCTTGATCAAGGATGTAATAAAGGAAGCTGAATTTCCTGTAATGATGATGTCATTAACATATACAAGAACCATGATTTGAAGTTTGCCTTGATGAAGCAGAAACAAACTGGGATCACGCTTACTAGCTTGAAACCCATGCTGAAGCAGGGCACTCTTGAGTTTGTCAAACCAGGCCCTAGGGGCCTGTTTTAACCCATATATAGCTTTGTTCAACCTGCACACTAGGGACTTGTCAGAGGCTGCAAACCCAGGGGGTTGTTGCATGAAAACTTCCTCCTCAAGAGTGCCATTTAGAAAGGCATTATTGACATCAATTTGCTGGATGATACATTTGTTTGTGACAACAATAGTAAGGAATGTTCTAACTGTGACATGCTTGATGACTGGTGAAAAAGTCTCCTGAAAATCACTGCCAGCCCTCTGATGAAACCCTTTTGCAACTAATCTGGCCTTGTATTTGTCGACAAATCCATCAGGGTTTTCTTTGGTCTTGAAGACCCACTTGCAGCCAATTGGCTTCCTAGAATCAGGTGCTTTCACCAAAGTCCAGGTCTGATTTCTCATCAATGCCTGATATTCCTCTTTCATTGCTTGGAACCAATGAGGAGTAACCAAGGCTTGATCAATTGATGTTGGTTCCATGTGGGTTAAAAGCAGTGTGGGATTAAGTCTAGGTAGGGTAATGCCTCTTTTGGCTCTGGTTTGCATAGGATGCACATCGAGAGAATTGACAAAAGGTTGGTTGGAGTGAGAGGGGTTAGAGGAAACAGTTTGAGAGGAAGAGGGAGAAATGGTAGACGCTTCAGCATGGTCTGAAAGAATGAGGGCAAGAGAGCAGGGAGGGGTGTGGTCAGCATTAGCTAGGACTGGTTGGTCATGAGTATGAGAAGCTGAAGCAGAACTTGAAGGAACATGGGATGCAGTATGAGGTGCAGGGCTGTGGGATGCAGTAGAACTAGAATTAGAAGCTGAGACAGACTAAGAATGGGAGGCTGAAGGAGAGACAAAATTATGATGTTCAGCCTGAGTAGGAGAAGGAGGATTAAGGGAAGGAGAAGATGTAGGTTGCCTGGATTCAGGCGATGGAATTATAGAAGGGACTGACCAGGAGGGGGCATTAGTAGAATTGAGATTTGTGTTGGATAAGGAAGATTGAGATGCAGTGGGGAACATGGACTGGTATGGGAATTTAGACTCATGAAACACCACATCTTTGGAGATATAGATGTGACCATCAGAAGCTAGGCACTTGTAACCTTTGTGAGCTGTAGAATAGCCAAGAAATAAGCACTCTTGGGACCTATAAGGCTAGCTTATGGGCATTGTAGGGACGAAGAAAGGGATAGCAAGAACAACCAAAGACTTTATGGTTTGAATAATCTGGGGGCTTATTTAAAAGTTTGAAATAAGGAGAGAAATTGTCAAGTGTGGGACTAGGTATTCTCTTAATAAGATAGGCAACTGTGACAAATGCATGGTCCCAAAATTTTAAAGGAAGGGTGGATTGGGCTAGAAGTGTGAGCCCTGTTTCAACTATATGCCTATGCTTACGTTTAACAAGGCCATTTTGATGATGAGTATGAGGACAAGTGAGCCTATGAACAATACCCAAATCATTTAGATATTTGGTGAGAGGCCTAAACTCTCCTCCACCATCACTTTGAACACATTTGATAGGGCAATTGAATTGAAGTTCAACCATTTTCTTAAACTGAGTAAACTGGATAAAGGCATCAAATTTGAGTTTGAGAGGGAATACCCAAACAAACCTAGAAAATGCATCTACACAAGTGAGGAAGTATGTGTAACCACCTGTAGATTTTATAGGTGCAGGACCCCAAAGATCACAAACAACTAATTCAAATGGATGGGTGTAAACAGTGGTAGATAGGGTATATGGTAATCTGTGGGACTTGCCAAGGCAGCAAGCCTGACACAATTCTGTAGGTGGTTTTGGAAAATTGGAGAAGTTGCATAGTTTGAAAACTTCAACTAGAGAATGATGATTAGGGTGTCCTAATCTAGTATGCCAAAGAACATATTTACTTGTGGCTATGGAGGATGAACTATTAGAATGTGCAGAAGATACATGAGTATTGTAAGTAGTAGAATTAAGAGAAGGAGAATGAGTAAAACTGCTCATATTATTATGAAACTGATCATGATTACAAAGAGTATTACAATGGCTTATACAATTTGGTAAACAATTGAAAACAAGAGTATTGTGTGCTAAAGATGAAGATGACAAATTACAGCTAGCCCTGCAATTTGTAGATTGGGCAGAACATGAATTTGGACTTGTAAAACTAGACTTGGATAGCTGAGTGGTAGGATTAGAGAACTTGTAAAGTCCATCATCTCCAACAGACCCACGAAGTAACACTTCAGAAGTAGCCTGAGATTTAACAACACAGAAATTAGGATGAAATTCAAAAAAGACATGATTATCTTGAGCAAATTTGCTCACACTCATTAAGTTTTTGGTTATGTTAGGGATAAGGAGAAGATTTCTAAGGGTAAGAGGTAGGTTGGAAGTGTGTGGCAAGTGAAATGACATGGAACCAACATAATTTATAGATAAACCTTGGCCATTTCCCATGAATATTTGCTCAGTTCCTGGCAATGAAACAGAATCAGACAAATTAGAGGCGTCAGGAGTAACATGATGAGAAGCTCCTGAATCAGGATACCACCATTGGTTATTAAAACCAGCTTCAGAACCTGCATAAAACGCATGTGGTGCAGAAGATCTAGGAGGTGCACTACCTCTGGGAACAAAATATCCAAATTGAGCTGGAAACATAAGGTGTGATTGCATAAGGAAGGGATTATACTGAGCTCTTGGAGGTGGATATGCAGCACCACTGGAATTAGAGTAACGATAATAGCAGATAGACGCATCATGTCCAGATTTGTGACAAATCTGACATTGCATTTTGCCAAAACGACCTCCACCGCATCCATAGCGGCCACTACCACAACCGGAACGACCTCCACGAGATCCATAAGTGTGATTATCAACGTTGGCAGTCACATGACTCGTACCTTGACGGAAAGTGTCCGTCAATGCTGGTTGATCAGAGGTAACCGGCGAAGACGACAGCGCTGTCTGAGTTAGATTCACCGTTGCCAGTTCAGTAACCACAACCTTATGATGCTTCTCAAGGCGCGATTCATGCGCTAACATCGACGACTCCAACTCATCCAAGGAACTTAATTCGTCTTTGCTGTTGACTGCAGCAACAATCGAATCGTAATCTTCAGGCAAAGAATCAAGAACGATCTCGATTAGGTTACGTACGGGTACCGGATCCCCAATCGAAATCAGTGATTCACTGATTTCGCGTGTACGCGCGATGAGTTCCGTAATCGTGAGAGTACCTTTCGTAAGCTGTCGAAGCTCCGATCGCAGTTGGCGCGCTTTGGTTGTGAGGAGCGTATTGAAGTAGTGATGGATTTCAGTCTATACCTGCCACGAATGTATGCACTCTACAAGCTTTGGGAGAAGCGAATCTGAGACAATAGAGAGTAGCCAAGTGCAGATGAGTGCGTCCTGTTGTTCCCACTCCAGGTACGCAGAATTCGCACCGTGTGGTGTCGTATCGGAATCTGACGGTGATCTTTGAGGAATCACCGGAACAGTAACAAATCGTTGTAGGCGGTGACCGCGTACAACTCCGTCAATCTGTTGCTTCCATTGCTTGAAGTTCCTATCATCAAGCTTTACAGAGATCAAGTGAGAAAGCTTCACTTGCGAAGACGGAAACAAGGACTCCATGGATCGAAAAATTAAGCTCTAGATACCATGATAGAGTTTGATAATGAAGAGAGGAGAGAAAATAGTTTGATAACTCTCATTGTATTAACTGATATAAGAAGATGCGGGAAACTCTCTATATATAGAGAGACTTAGATCTAACAAACTAAAGCTTCTATAACAGAAATATGACAACTCAGCATATATTGCTAACAGAATATTAGAACAGAAATATAAACTAACAGAATATTAGAACAGAAATATAAACTAACTGACTAACTATATAATAACTCTATTAAAATCCACTTCTACAAGTTCTTAGGGTAACTTACGCAATCTTAAAATCACTTTTGTACACAATCTTAAAATCAATTGTGTCTAAGCATACCAAATATTAAGTTTCTGCTTTATATAAAACCTCCAGAAAATTATTTGCATTTGTGCACAATCTTAAAATCAATTATGTCTAAGCTTAAACAAACAGACTATGTTTGATTGACTGGGAATATTTCTGGTTGTAATGTGCACCAAGTAAAATTATACAGCAACAAGTTGGGTTTCGATTTATTTAATAGCTTTTTTAGTACGGCTCTGTTACTTTTCACTTCCTTTGTGTGCATGTTATCAATATGACAGCAGTATTAGGTTAGTATTGAGAAAATCTAAATTCCCACATTGGTTAGAGAAAGAGTTTGGAAAGGCTTTATATATAGTGACACCCCTCACTTTAAAAGTCGGTTTTGTAGGGATTAGTGTAATTTTAATATGGTATCGGAGTCTTGTTCGGTTGGGGCTCCTTGTATCGAAAGTCTTCCTGACAAGAGTGTTTAGGCGGCGTATTCCGTTAAGTTGAAACAATGACGATGTAAGCAGATATGGAAGAAAAAAGGAGATATTGTTGGTATATCAAGTGTGAGTATGAGTCCCGTGAGTATGAGTCCCACATTGGATGGAAAATGGATGTTGAACAGTTTATAAGTGAGAAGACCCAATGCCTTAAGATTTTGGATTAATATGTAGTGTCAAACTCATTTAAAGTGGGTGTTGAAAGCTCAATGTGATGATCCTCAGACTCCCTCATGACCCAACAGAGAAGCCGAACGAGTAGTCCTGGTTCCAATCGGTTACCGTCCCTCTGACGTGGTTGCTCCATCAAAGTAGCAGAGCAGCGAGCTTCACTTTCAATTGTCAAGGGGGACAGTAACCGATTGGAATCAGGACTACTCGTTCCATTTTTGTAAACCTTCAACCGGAAACAACTCTGAAAAATTAGTGTCATTTTGTTACCGTTCTCTAGATTGTTTAGAATCTCCTAGGTTCGGATTTGGTTATGATGATTCAACGAAAACTTACAAGGTTGTAGCCCTTCGTTTTGAAGGGAACAGAGATTCAGTTATGGCTAAAAGTGAGGTTAAAGTTTTCATTTTGGGTGCTAGTTGGAAAAGCGTTAATGGTTTTCCACTGAGTTCACTTAATTGGATGGATATTAGTAGTTAATAGTTATAGTCTTAACAACGGTGTACATTTAAGTTGCAATGTTAATTGGTTGGCTATTCGCAACTATTCCTATCTATTTATCAGTATAAGTCTATCACTTATGTTGATCAATTTGTGATTGTTTCGCCTGATCTTTCTAAGGAGACATTCAAGCAGTTGCTGCTGCCTCAAGGTTTTAATGAGGCGCCATTTATTCAGCTTGTTCTTAAGATTTTGATGGGATGTCTTTGTTTTTCTCATGATTGCTAGAAAAGTGAATTTGTTTTATGACAGATGAAGGAGTATAGGATAAAAGAGTCTTAGACTCAATTATTTAAGAATAGTTACGAGAGTCTTCAAATGCATAAAATTGATGATGATTTTCAATTGGGGTGCCTTTATAAAATTGGTGATACTGTGATCTTTGCAAATAAGTTAGGCCAATCGGCAGTGATATATAATTTGAGAGATCAAATAGTCCGAGAATTAGATTTCCTGACTGTAAAATCAAGTTTGGTGTCGGTACTACAAACTGGTACTACTATCCTAATGATTACATAGAAAGTTTGGTGCTGGCCAATCTCTAATTCTAATAGTTAGCACCTAGAAGGGTCATGCAACTGTATTGTGCAGCATAACTTTCAGAGTTGACAGCAATAGAATTTGTGATGATAAAAATCATTTGTCAGTGCATGCAATACACTCGGCATTTATTGATTCTACTTGTGAACATCTAAAACTTAATCTGATATATATAATTTTATTTTTTCCTGACATTTTAAATTCTTCATTGCCTGATTTTTACTTGCGCAAAGAAAGCCATGCATATAATAAGGGAAAGATTCTTGTTGTTAGCAAAGTCCCTTTGCCTGATTACCGTGCAGACCTTGATGAGCGTCATGGATCAACACAGAAGGAGGTGGAGTACTATTTATTCTATTTCATTGTCCGATTACCAATTTCTTGTTGAAAGTTAACTAAAATACTAAGTTCGGTTTTCTTCAGATTAAAATGTCCACGGACATAGAGAGGAGAGTAGGAAATCTTTTAAATATGTCACAGTCAACTGGGACATCAGCTGCTAGTCTGGCTTCTGTATCAACTGATATGGAACATAAAATATCAACAACGACTATAAAATCTGCTTCACAGCAGACTGATACTTCAAAGGAGAAACTCAGTGTTGCACTCAAAGAAAGACAGGAACTGGAGCAGGTATCAAAGCATTTAGAAGGATTTTTGACCATTATATTTTGTTTGCATCTATTGTGCCATCTATTTGACTGCTTTATGCTGTATTTCGAACTTATGCTGGGGTTGGAAACATGCAGACAGCTAATAATTTGAAGGAAATGAAATCATTTAGGGAGAAGCTTCCTGCATTTAAAATGAAGTCTGAGTTTCTGAAAGCTGTTCAAGAAAATCAGGTGCCAATAGCTATTTATTATCATTCATAAAAATTGACTTATTTATCATCATTCTTTGCCTGATTCAAGATGCTTTTAAGAAACTACATCTTTAGATCTCCATGGCAATTTAAAAGAGGGCAGACCTTGCTGCTTGATATTTATGTGGATAAATTGTCAATACTAATATGACGCACAGACTGTTTGAACTCATTTTGATACTTTGCTCATGTTCAGTCTATGGTTCTAGTTGTAGTTTCCAATCTAGAATAGAGTAAAATTTGGCTGGTGTTTGTGCAGGTATTGGTAGTTTCAGGAGAGACAGGCTGTGGCAAAACAACACAGTTGCCACAATTCATTTTGGAAGAAGAAATATCACGTTTGCGTGGAGCTGACTGCAACATAATTTGTACTCAGCCTCGTCGTGTATCTGCAATTTCTGTTGCAGCTCGTATATCTGCTGAAAGAGGGGAAACTCTTGGCAAAACTGTTGGGTACCACATCCGTCTTGAAGCAAAACGTTCTGCGGAAACACGCCTTCTTTTCTGCACCACTGGTGTATTACTTCGGCAACTGGTATTATTAATTTCCCTAAAACTGAATATCCTGTTTTTAAGACTTCAACATCTGCATTCATAAAAGTTTAGACAGGAAATGGAGTCTCCTCTCACAACTTAAGCAGTTGGGAGAGTTGGTGATTAACATGGTATTGAAGCATGTATAATCAACCAACTAGTCCTTAGCCATTGATCACTATGGAAAGTTGAATTTCAGTATAAGTTGGAGTTGGCACTTGCACTGTCAATGCATTGGTCCCATTAGGATCTTGTGTCTGGGTCGTGTTAGATACTCCATCCGTTTCAAAATGAGTGTCGTTTAAGGTTTTTGCTCACAGATTAAGGGATGTAATAATAGTGTCATAAAACTTGCACTTTTACTATTTTGACCTTATAAATGTGTTGGAAGTAGTGAAGAGAGTAATAATTGAAGAGTATAATTGAAAAAATAGCAATCAATTCTACATTGAAAAGTGAGAATGACATTAATTTTGAAACAAATTTTATTTACTCAAACGACACTCATTTTGAAACGGAGGGAGTATAACATACATTAAGAGCCTTCACTTAATAGCTTCAGATAGTTGGTGGTTAACACTTTCTTCCCTGCAGGCTGTGATAGTGATGCTTGCATAGATATAGAGTAGAAAATTAAATTCATACAGTGAAAAGGATAGGATGCAGTAGTTGAGCATTTAAAAGATTAGTGTTACTAAATTTCTATTTTAAATATGAAAGAGGAAAAATATTAAGTTAATAACATCCTAGCTTTATGTGGGGGATACTCATATGTGCTTCTCGACAGTGGTGTTCACTTTTCTTTCCTATCTTTGTTTTTGAACAGGTCCAAGATCCAGAGTTGACTGGTGTTAGTCATTTGCTTGTGGATGAAATTCATGAAAGGGGCATGAATGAAGACTTCTTAATTATAATTTTACGTGACCTTCTTCCCCGTCGTCCAGATCTGCACCTCATTCTAATGAGTGCTACAATCAATGCTGATTTGTTCTCTAAATACTTTGCAAATGCCCCAACAATGCACATACCGGTATTGCATTCTTTTTAAATTTCATGTTATTGAGTTATGTTTTTTTAATTTATTTAAATGCAAATAATGTTCCTTTATTTTATTTTATTCGGACATGTGTCAGGGATTTACTTTCCCTGTAACAGAGCACTTCCTAGAAGATGTGTTGGAGAAAACTAGATATAGCATCAAGTCGGAGTTTGACAGTTTTGAGGGGAATACTAGGAGAAAAAGGAAACAACAAGATTCTAAGAAGGATCCTCTGACTGAAATGTTTGAGGTATGTTTACTTTATATATCAATCCATGTATTTACAGTCTGATTTATAAGATACTTTGAACTATGAACTCATGCATATTCACCATACCAGTTGCATGGAATTAGGACTTATTGACTGTTGTATTCCATAGCATTGCAACCTTTGTCTGGATAATATCACACTAAGTTTTTTTCAACGTTTTGTATTCAGTTCATGATAGTTCCCACTTAGTGGGATAAGACTTGGCTGTTGTTAAATTCACTTCATATTGCACATTCAATACGGTGCTAATGTTGGGATCAAAAGTTTTGTTCTTTTCAAGAACCTTTTTCTGTCATTGAAGGGAAGTTAGCAGTTATCCATGACAAATGTTCTTTCTGTTAACATTATTGTGGGGTTACATTTTGATAATAGACACGTGACTTTGGTGGGAGTGATGAAAGTTCGATGACAGACACTTTGCGAATCATGAGAAAGGATAATTTAGCTGTTGAATATTAGTTGGATCACATGCTTGATTTTTGGCGTGTGATCTGTTGTACTTGTTTGACAGTGCTTTCGATGAGGTGTACTGGTGGGTTGTTGGAGATTTATGGAGTGAAAGGCCTTCGTATAATATGCTCCTCTTTTGCTGCAATCAATCTTTCTTCTAATAACATCTTTAGTCATAAAAAATAGAAAGCCAAAACATGATAGAAATTTGTTTAGATTTAAAAGTCTAGCCTTTGTAGCTAAAAAACTTAGTAGTCCTTTTTTGCAATTTGTGATATGCCTTACATATCTTGAGAGTTTCTGTTTTTGTGCTGCTTCCTACTAATGCTACCAATTAGCTCATCCCTTGCCATCTCCTTGTTCTTGCAGGACCTTGATGTAGATACTCATTACAAAAATCACAGCTTGGGTGTTAGAAAATCCCTTGAAGCTTGGTCAGGTTCACAAATTGATTTGGGTCTGGTATGTATTCTGTGCATTGTATTTTTTTTTTGAATTAGCAGTATTGGTTATTGGGCAAGTATCTTAGCTCAGTGCATAGTTATCCGGTCAAAGTTTGACAATTTTGTCTGCAGCTAGTGTAGAAGTCTATCGAAAATTAATATTTCGAGGAGTGTGTTTCTTACAAATAGATCATCTTATTTATACAATGAACGCATTGAGTATAGGAGCTAACCATGCACTGAATATAGTGGTAATTAATAGCCACTGTAGAAGTTATGGGCTTGTTGGGTGGCCATGACGGAATAAAGCTATATAGAATAAGATAGTTGGATTGGATATGAGTAGGAAAGATATTCACATCCTCTAACCAAACTACAGTAGTTTAATATTTTAAGTTGTGCTAAATATGCTAATGAATCTAGATTAGCCTTCTAAGGAGTTTGCCATTCGACTTCCCTCTTTGTCAATGAATTGTGCATTCTATGTTCTCAGTTGTCATTTGTTTCATTTCTTTCTATCTTTCCATTAGAAGTTTGAATCAATGCTAGTGAGAATCTAAACTATTGTAGAGAGAACCCGTGTTTGTTAGAATCTGAGTTTTGTATTTATGATAATTGAAATGATTACAAATTTACAATGAAGGGTGAGTCTATTTATAGATTCACCAACAGGCTTATCCTTACTAATTTCTGTTTGTTAATTAGTTATAGGTTGTTAAAATATATTCTTTCCTTTATATGCAGAGTATGTTACGATACTGTACACTTGTAGTTAGTTACAACTTACAAGAGATGTTAAGTCCTACAGATAGTGTATGCTAAGCTATTGTGTGCCAAGTGTAGTCACTCCTATAGTACTTCCTTACTTGTGTGGCTCTATGCTTTTAATGAAGTTTTCTAAGTTTGTTGAATCAGTTTTAAGGATGTTTATTTAATTTTGATTAGTATGATGTTTCAGGTAGAAGCAACAATTGAACATATATGTCGGAATGAAGGTGGTGGAGCTATTCTTGTATTTCTTACTGGCTGGGATGAAATCTCTAAGCTACTTGAGAAACTTGAAGGAAATAACTTACTTGGAAACCGTAGCAAGTTCTTAATCCTTCCAATACATGGTTCAATGCCTACCATTGACCAATGTGAAATATTTGACCGTCCTCCCCCTAACAAAAGGCAAGCATGTTTCTTTTGCTAATTTTCTCCATAGACAGATTTTTATTGTGATAATATGCTTGGGGAAGATTGTGAGGAATTTATGTAAATATTGCTTTGGCATATACTCTATTAACTATAATTAATAAGGGTATTCTAGTAAATGATATTAGTTTTATCATTAAAATCAACACATCTAATCATTTTCTTAAGAACCACACATTGCTCAAATAAGACACTTTTTATGAGATGGAGGGTATTGAATATGAGAGTGATGGAGCCAGAACTTAAACAAACATGTTGAACCTCTAGGGGAATGTGAAGGGAAACTGGTGAATTGAATCACTTGACGATATTTTCTGGAATTTTCTCTGTATAAATCAAACTAGTGAACTACTATTAAGTGCTAGCTTTTGAAAGTATTAAAGTAGCTTAGCAATTGAGCCTAACGCATATCATTTATTTTTATTTATTAGAATTTTAGTTGGCAAGAATTCTATGGTTTCAGTTTCACTTCTCTTTGGTATATATAATAATTTGAAAGAAGACTGCAGTATTTTCAGCTCTTCATTTATATTTATCTGATGCTTAATATTTTTAGGCATCGATTGTTGATTTTCAGAATTTAATGATTAGTTTTTGAAGTTCTGAATATATTAACTGCTTCAGGAAGCTTAAAGCTTGTTCCAGAAATCCTTCTTTCAAAAAGTGTTATGAACCAGAGAATTGAAATGGAAGAAAACTATTTATATTTATTGATATTTGTAAATATATAATGTTAAGAATATTTGTATGTAGAATAGTCTCACATCGATTATATCGTGTAATTAGTTGTAATCTCTCTCTATATAATAAAGTCTCCGTAGTGTTTTCAAAACACACGGTTTAACCTAAATGTCTCTTAGTCTCTCCTAATTCAATATGGTATCTAGAGCCTTCTAAGAGACAATTCTTCGCCGTGCTTTATCCTGTTGACCCACTGTCTTCCGGTGAAAAATTTTCTTCTGCAAACCGTGTCATCATTCCGGTTTGCCTCACTTTTTTTTTAAATTTTTTTTCCAGCGACCTCCGCCGCCGCACTGGCCATCGGAAAACAATTTTTTTTTCCAGGGGCTACTGTTCACTGCCGCCGCCACTGTTCCTCGTCGCCGCTACCGTTCACGAATTTTTTATTTTTTTACCATAAAATCGCCTTCTTCTTCCGGTTCCAGATCCGCCCTCAGTTTTTGTTTTTGACTCACAGAAAGTCGTACTCTTGTTCAAACAACTCCAGTTGTTGTGTTTTAAGCCACGGGAGATGCTGATTCTGTCTCGTTTACTAAAGTTCTGCTTATCCCATGTGAAAAACTAACCGGATCAGCCAACTATAACATATGGGCTCGTGCTGTCGAGATGTGGTTGCACGGTCAAGGATATGAAGAGCATCTAACCACCCAATTGAGTGACATTGCAGCAGTCAAACTCGCTAAATGGAAGAAAACTGATGCCTCTTTGTATACTGTGTTGTGGTTTTCCATAACACCTAACCTCCAAGCGCAATACCAAGCATTCTCCACTTGTTATGAGGTGTGGCAAAAGGCCAATAAAGTCTTTTCCAACGACGTTCATTCTCTATACAGTGTCATCCACAAACTCAACACACTGAAGTTGAAAAATATGGATGTGCAAGCTTATCTGAGTAAGCTTGATGCCTTGAAGGCAAGTTACGCAACCCTCATGCCTTACGCAAAAGATGCAATAGCTCATGTCGAACAACAGAGTAAATATTTCATGGTCATGGCACTTGAAGGACTACCATTAGAACTCGAATCCGTTCGTAACCAGATTTTATCAGGTACTACTGTTCCTAACTATGATGCAGTTAGTGAACAATTGTTGCGCTTGGCTACACCTCATGCGTTTGGTCCGGTTTCTCCTCCATTTATTGCTATTCCAACACCAGGTGACACTACTGCTCTTGCATCTCTTGGCAACAATCAAAATCGCCTTCGAGGAGGGTTATCCAACTCCAAACCTCGTCCTAAGTGTGACCATTGTAACCGGCTTGGACATACTATCGATCGTTGCTGGAAGTTGCATGGCAAACCTCCACGGTAGGTAAATGTAGCTCAAATTGATAACCCAGACACTATGCAAACTTCACCTTCTCTTCAGAACCCTACGCCAAGCTACGAGGATTTTCTCATGTGGTGTCAGACTAACCAGATCTTTGGTTCCGCGACTTCGATTGCACACACTAGTAATTCATTTGTTTGCGTCTCTCAATCATCTCCTTTTGGTTCTTGGGTCCTCGACTCTAGTGCGTCTGATCATGTTACCAGTAATGAAATTTTTTTCTCTTCCCTTTCTACCTCTGGTTTCTTACTGAGTATAACTGCCGCAAATGGTTCTCAAACCCGATCCCAAGGGGTCAGTACTGTTCAAATTCTACCATCTCTCTTTGTTATTTCTGTCCTATATGTACCTAATTGTCCATTTAATCTACTGTCAGTCAGTCATTTAACTCGTTCCCTTAATTGTTCTATCACTTTTACGAACAGTGATGTTATTATGCAGGATCGAAGTTCGGGACAGACGATTGACGTCGAATGTGAGTCTCAAGGCCTCTACTACTTCTCTACGTCATCTACCACATGCTCCACCACAGATTCTCCACTCATTATACATGCGCAGTTAGGTCATCCAAGTCTTTCCAAACTACAAAAGTTGGTGCCCAGTTTATCTAAATTATCCACTTTACAATGTGAGTCTTGTCAATTAGGGAAACATACTCGTAGTCACTTTCCCGATCGAGTCAATAAACGGGCTGCGTCCCCTTTTGCTTTAGTTCACTCTGATGTTTGTGGTCCATTGCGTACCGTGTCTACTTTTGAGTCTAGGTATTTTGTAACATTTATTGATGATTTTTCACGTTGCACGTGGCTATTTTTAATGAAAAACAGGTCTGATTGTTTTTTATTTTTGAACAATTTTATCGAGAAATAAGAATTCAATTTGGTTTGTCCATTCGTACCTTAAGAAGTGACAATGCACGTGAATATTTATTCCAACAATTTCAAACTTTTATGTCATCCAATGGTATTCTGCACCAAACATCTCGCCCTCATACACCTCAACAAAACGGGGTAGCCGAACGCAAAAATCGACATCTCGTAGAAACCACTCAGACTCTACTTCTCCATGGTAATGTCCCTCAGATTTTGGGGGGATGCTGTGCTCACGGCGTGTTATCTCATAAATCGCATGCCCTCATCTGTCCTTAATAATAAAATCCCTCATTCAATCCTATTTCCAAACTCTTCTCTTCACCCAATTCCTCCTCGAGTCTTCGGGTCTAAATATTTTGTGCATAATCTCTCCCCTGGTCTTGATAAATTATCAGCTCAATCACTAAAGTGTGTCTTTCTTGGTTATCATCGATCCCAAAAGGGTTATCGTTGCTACTCGCACACTCCGCGACGATACCTGATATCGGTCGATGTTACCTTTGAGTCTGTCATATTTTGCGTCCACCCAAGTCACTCCGGAACCCCTTCAGAAAAGTACTCCCACACCTCTTCTGGAAGTCCCATTTCCCATTATCCCCCATCATTCTAGGGAACGTGTCCCATGAGAAACCCCTACGGTTGACCCCCCACTTCTCGCCCACTTCAAACATATCAGCGTCGTAAACCGTCTGTCATACCTGTCCCGGAGGTTGTACATGTCTATGAGGTCGTACCTGCCCTTGAGGTCATTGCAGACTCTCCTCCGACGCTATCACCATCACCGGATTTGATCCTGCAACCTGAGTCTGATCTTCCGATTGCCCTTCGCAAAGGTATACGTCAAACACGAAATCCTTCTCCACATTATATTAATTTATGTTATCATCGTCTTTCCCCTTTGCAGTATACTTGTTTGTCCTCTTTGTCTTCCGTTTCTATTCTTAAATCTCCAGGTGAAGCATTATCTCACCCTGAGTGGAGGCAAGCAATGATTGATGAAATTTGTGTTCTTCAAAGCAGTGGTATCTGGGAATTGGTTCCTCTACCCACTGAAAAATCTTTAGTAGGTTGTCGTTGGCTTTATACAGTGAAAGTTGGTCCAGATGGTAAGATTGATCGTTTTAAAGCTCGCTTGGTAGCCAAGGGATACACTCAGGTTTTTGGGTTAGATTATAGTGATACCTTCTCGCATGTAGCCAAGATGACATCTGTTAGACTTCTTCTAGCCATTGCAGTCATTCGACATTGGCCTCTTCATCAACTTGACATCAAAAATACATTTTACATGGTGATCTTGAAGAAGAAGTATATATGGAGCAACCACCTGGGTTTGTTGCTCAGGGGGAGTCATCAAATATGGTTTGTAGGCTACACATGTCTCTTTATGATCTTAAGCAATCTCCGAGAGCTTGATTTGGTAGATTCAACACTGTAGTACAACAATTTGGTATGGTCCTTAGTGAAGCTGACCATTCTGTCTTTTATCGTCACTCAGTCCAAGGGTGTATTTATCTTATTGTGTATGTAGATGATATTGTCATAACTGGTAGTGATGAGTCGAGAATACTCTAGTTGAAACAACATCTTTCGAATCAATTTCAGACAAAGGATCTTAGTAAACTCTGGTATTTCTTAGGTATTGAGGTAGCCCAATCTAAAGATGGTTTGGTGATTTCTCAACGGAAATATGCTATGTAAAATCAGTTGATACTCCTATGGATCCAAGTGTCAAACTACTACCCAATCAGGGGGAGCCTCTATCAGACTCGGGAAGGTATAGGAGATTGGTTGGAAAGTTGAATTATCTCAGTCACTCGTCCAGACATTTCTTTTGCAGTCAGTGTGGTAAGTCAATTCTTAAATTCCCCTTGTCAGGAACACATGGATATTGTTATCCGGATTCTAAGATACATCAAATATGCTCTAGGAAAAGGTTTAGTGTATGAAGATAAATGACATATTCAGATAGTTGGATACTCTGATGCTGATTGGACAGGGTCATCAATTGATAGACGATCCACCTCTGAGTATTGTGTACTTGTTGGAGGAAATCTTATATCTTGGAAAAGTAAGAAACAAAATGTAGTTGCAAGATCAAGCACCGAGGCAAAGTATAGGGCCATGGCAATGGTAACATGTGAACTCATTTGGTTAAAACAGTTGTTCAAAGAACTTAAAATTGAAGAAGCAAGACCAATGACACTTGTATGTGATAATAAAACTGCATTGCACATTGTTTCAAATCCAGTCTTCCATGAGAGGACCAAACATATTGAGATAGACTGTCACTTTATCAGAGAGAAGATTGAGTCTGGCGACATCGTCACAAGCTTTGTCAACTCTAATGATCAATTGACAGATGTGTTTACAAAATCTCTGTGAAGCCCCAAAATTAATTATATATGTGGCAAGTTTGGTGCATTTGACTTATATGTTCCAGTTTGAGGGGGAGTGTTGATATTTGTAAATATATAATGTTAAGAATATTTGTATGTAGAATAGTCCCACATCGATTATATCATGTAATTAGTTGTAATCTCTCTCTATATATAATAAAGTCTCCGTAGTGCTTTCAAAACACACGGTTTAATCTAAATATCTCTTAGTCTCTCCTAATTCAATAATATTGAAAAATGAGAAAATCAAAAATAAAATCCCCCTAATGGTTTCCCCTTTTCAAAGGATCCTTCCTTTCAGTCCGAATATGAAAACTACTCACATCTCACAAGGCTTCTACAATATCAAAAGGAGTTTACTCATTGGGGTTTTACACTTAGGTGATCAAAATCTTACATGTTAGGATTCCTTGAAGCGCCAGAAATATAGTTCTGATTGACCATAATTGTGTCCCGCTGAGATTTAATGCCGCTAGCTCATATTATTGTCTACAATTTGTTGATTTGTAAAAGAATTTATGGCAGTGTTTCAATCATCCTAAGGAATTTTAAGTGCCATCTTAAGTGAGAAATACCATTTGGAGTTTTGTTGAACAATGTACCCTCTTGACTGCGATTCACTTCTGTCTACCGAACCTCGTTTATTTTCTCGGTTACCACTGCTTGTCTCTCCTAAATTCTGTAATGTTGGTCCCTCATTTGCATTTCAAATCACCATGAAAAAGCCGAACGTCTGTTCTTTCGGTGTGTTTGAGATAATAATAAAATATCAAAGTTTTTTTATTTTAGATTTTATAAGATTTAGAGAGTTTCTCCTTGACAATTGTCTTAAATCTCCTTGTACAAATGTCCCACTATAGTTGTTATGGGTTTCCTATATAATGGAATCTTGTATTCTTCATTCAATATGAAAATCAATATAAAGATCTTTCATCAGATTTTATTCTAACAACATTCTCTCTCTAATACCATTTCTAACATGGTATTTAGAGCTTCTTTTTCGATCTAGTGACCTATTCTCATGGCGTCATCTTCTTCGTTCAACCCTCAAGGTTCCTTTCCGTCCTCTCACGTCAAACTTTCACACCTCATATCTATGAAACTTGATGACAAGAACTTTAAACAATGGAAACAACAAATCGATGGAGTCATTCGTGGTCACAAACTTCAAAGTTTCGTCACCACACCGTATGTTCATCCTTGATTCCTTCCTGGCTCAGATCCGGCGTCTAACGGCGTCAACTCTGAATATCTTGATTGGGAGCAACAAGATGCTCTCATCCGCACTTGGCTCCTTTCCACCATTTCTGACTCGCTTATAACGAAGCTTGTTGATTGCACTTACTCTTGGCAAGTGTGGTCTGCGATTCATCTCTATTTCAACACCTTACCACCAAAGCTCGTCAACTCTGTTTAGAACTTCGAAATATCACGAAAGGGTCGCGCACGATAAACGATTTTGTTTTTCGTGTTCGCGAGATTAATGACTCTCTTATCTCTGTAGGCGATCCTGTTCCGCTTTGCAATCTCATTGAAATCGAACTCGACGTTCTTCCAGAAGAGTACGATTCCGTTGTTGCTGCTGTTAACAGCAAAGATGAACTTTGTTCCATTGATGAGCTCGAATCATTTCTTCTTGCTCATGAGTCGCGTCTTGAGAAGAACAAGAAAGCTATTATCACTGAGCCTGTGTTGGTGAATCTTACGCAAGCTT